AATTGTGAATGAATTCGAAATTGCTCTCTGAATCATTATTTTCATTCGTTCTAAAAATAGCAACACAAAGGTCGCCACTTATTTAGTTAGTAGCAATTGTCATAAAAACACCAAGCATCACAAACATAAATTTGTTCGAATTGTGGACTTTATTTAGTAAAAAAGTACAAAACACAAKGCTTCAAAACATGTATTTACGCAATTCCGACGACACCACAGACGAGTCTGCTCCCGGCATGTCCTGTGGTCTTGGAGTCATCGAAGCCCCCTTTCCCCAAATCGTCCTCCCCCTCATGGACCACAAGAGCCCTCCCGATGATACTATAATCACCATTCAAAGAAATAATTTTGTCAGTAAAACTGACATTGGCCACTTTTTTCTCATCAGCGATGATGTTCCCAAGATCGCCGACATGGCGAACAGCGTCCTCAGGAGCCCCATGATCCTTCTAAAAATAAAAATTTAACGATTTGTTTATTGGCCCAAAGTGGGGCTACTTTGTCCGGATTGAAGTGTCCCCCGGCGGCCTTGCAGCCGTCGCCGAGGGCCCCCTTCTCGTGGATGTGGAAGCCGTGCTTGCCTTTGGGGAGCCCGGTGATGACCCCCTCGATTTTCACCTCGGTGGGGGTTTGGGTGAAGGTGATTTTGCCGTCGATGTCGCCCGATTTGAGACACACCACGGCTTTCTCCACCTGATTTTTTTTTATTATTTTGAAATTAAAAAATAAAATTTTGACTTACTGTAGCCATTGTGGAGGCAATGGTGAGGGCCAATACGAGAAGTTTGAACATTGTTACCACACCTAGAAATAAATTTATCGCTTGATGTGTGCCAAGTACAACGGTAGAAAGTGGACTGCGTTTGCGATGTTTGATAAACAACGCAATACCTTGGATAAATTTTATAACCGGTTTTTGCATAATGGATAATGAGATGATCGGGGGAATTATGCATTGGGGACAGGGGGGGCAATGCAAAGGTGTTTCATGAGGAATTTCACTGGAAAACATCCCTAAATCTGTCACTAAATGTCACTGCGCCACCACGTCCCCGGCATGTATCTCTGCTCTAAAATAACTCATTTCAGAGCTAATATCTCCTTTCGGGAAAATTTTTCAAATTTCTTTAGTTATTGAAATAAACGAGAATAAAATATTTATAATTTAAATTTTTAGAAAATATTGCATTTTGAAACTTGAAAAATTCTCAAAATTAGTGTATTTCCTGATAAAACACTATTTCATCAAAATAAGCAGAATTATTGCATTCCACTACTAATTTTGTAATTTGTTGTTTGTTGTCGCAAAATCTTTTTTATTTATTTGGTTTCTTAATAAAAAATGAGGCCGCAATTTTCTCTTTTTTTATTTTTTTTTTATTATCCACTGTTTTTTTTTCAGTTTTTATTGCGTTTTTATTATGATAATAATTTGATTTTCGCGTTTCAGCTTGAGTTATTTAATTTTAAGACGTTGTTTCCATTTTTCAGTTTTTTCATTTTCGATTTTCTGTCATTGAATTCGAAATCAGTTTTTTAATATTGAGATTTTGTAAATTGGGATTTATTTCATTTCATTTTTCAAGTTTTTAGTTCATGTTTATTACTTTTTTTGGTCTTTTAAGTTCAAGTTTATAATATTGAGTTTTTTTTTGACTGATTGTCGATTTTAATTTGAATTTCTAGTTCAGTTTCTCATTTTTAAATTTTGAGTTTCATAATATTAAGGTTTACAGCATATTTGCATTTGCAAATTGACAGTGATTTAATTCGAATTGTGTTTGGGTTTTCTTGATATTAGAATTCAAATTCAGTCTAATTTTCCGTTTTTTTTCAGTTCAGGTTTACTAGTATTTTTTGTTTTTTCATTTGAAATTATTGTTTTGTTTCAATTTTAATTTTATTATTGTCTTTAATGTTACTAGTTTCATAACATTTTGATTTTTGATTTTTTCGAATTTTTGTTTGATTTTATAGTTGCAAATATGAAAATTTATTATTTAATTTCCAGTTCTCAGTTTCCGTTTTTGAGTTCAAGTCATTGGAARTGGAAATTTTGTACTTTTCCAAGCTTATAATTTTGGAATTCCCTTCTTACTTATAGTAAAATTTCACGAATTTTGAGAATTCTTTAGTGGAAACGTTCCCAAATTTACAAAAATAACACATTTCAGACCTAATATTGCAATGTCTTGTCTCGTTCTGGGAAATTTTTTCACATTTCTTTTGTTCTGCAGTGAAAATTGCTCTAAATTTATTGAAATAAACGAGAATAAAATATTCATAATTTAAATTTTTAGAAAATATTGCATTTAGAAACTTGCAAAAATTCTCAACATTAGTGTATTTCTTGATAAAACACTATTTCATCAAAATAAGCAGAATTATTGCATTTCACTACTAATTTTGTAATTTTTTCTTTGTTTTCTTAATAAAAATTAGGCCTTTTAGATTTAATTTCGCAATTTTCTACCTTATTTCTCTTTTTTTTAATTTCTTTATTATCCACTGAGTTTTTTCAGTTTTTACTGCATTTTTATTATGATAATAATTTGATTTTTGCGTTTCAGCTTGAGTTATTTAATTTTAAGATTGTTTCCATTTTTCAGTTTTTTCATTTTCGATTTTCTGTGTCATTGAATTCGAAATCAGTTTTTGAATGTTGAGATTTCGTAAATTGGGATTTATTTCATTTCATTTTTCAAGTTTTCAGTTCATGTTTATTACTTTTTTTTGAGTTTTTCTGACTGATTGTCATTTTTAGTTTGAATTTCTAGTTCAGTTTCTCATTTTTAAATTTGGAGTTTCATAATATTAAGGTTTTACTCAATTTTTACAGCATTTTTGCATTTGCATTGTTTAATTCGAATTGTGTTTGGCGGGTTTTCTTGATATTAGAATTGAAATTCAGTCTAATTTTACGTTTTTTTCAGTTCAGGTTTCTTAGTATTTTTTATTTTTTCATCTGAAATTATTGTTTTGTTTCAATTTTAATTTTATTATTGATTTTAATGATACTAGTTTCATAACATGTTTGCATTAAATTTTTGATTTTTTCAAATTTTTGTTTGATTCTATAGTTGCGAATATAAAAATTTATTATATAATTTCCAGTTCTGTTTCCGTTTTTGAGTTCAAGTCATTGGAATTGTTTCAAATTTTGTTGTTTTATATATTTTTTTCTACTTTACTTTATTATCCAAATTTTGTACTAATCCAAGCTTATAATTTTGGAATTCCCTACTTACTTATAGTAAAATCTCACGAATCTTGGGAATTCTTTAGTGAAAACGTTCCCAAATTTACAAAAATACCACATTTCAGACCTAATATTGCAATTTTTTGTTTCGTTATGGAAAATTTTTACAAATTTCTTTAGTTTTGCGTTGAAAATTGCTCTAAATTTATTGAAATAAACGAGAATAAAACATTTATAATTTAAATTAATAGAAAATAT